ACGGCGATCGATATTGCCAGGCGAGGGGGGGGGGGGGGACAGCGCGCAGTTGCCGGCGAGCTTACGTCGTCGCTCCCGCGTCTCGTGTCCGCATCCCTCGCCAGGCAATATCGATCGCCGTGCGGTCACATCTCGCCACGCGCTCGAATTGGACAGTGGGCAGGGCAAAGACGACGATTTTCGATAATTTATTACTCGTTAACTATTGCGAAAATTGCAAATGGTTCAGGACTTTTCTGTTCATCTCGATCCGTTCTACCTTCTCACGAGCTCTGGCACAAATGTTGTGACTCACCCTGTATATTATATCCCACCTTCCCAATCCCTCCCTTATTCTCCAATCCAACTACGTTCCAAAATCCTACCTTACATTTCTCTCTGCTCCTTCCCTCTCCTTTCATTTTCTTCTTTTGTTTTCTTCTCTTCTCCACTCCCTCTTCTTCTCCCCATTCTCCTATTCTCCTTAAAAAAACGGTTCTCCCTCCTCTCTTCTCCTCCTACCTCCTGCTCTTTTGTCAACTCATCCTTTTCCTCATTCCATCTCCGTAGCTTCCCCTCCACTCATAATTTCATATACCCCACTCTAATTCTCAATCCCTCCCTCCTTTTTCATCCCCTTCCCTCCTGATCCTCCACTCTACTCTTCTTTCTTTCTCTGTTAGATCATCCTTAATCCACTCTTTCCTCTCTCTTAAATTTACTTTCCCCTTCATCACTTCTATCTTTTCTCCTACACTTGCAAAGCTGACCTTAACCGTTTCTTTACCCTCCTCGTTTCTCCTCCCTATCTTCTTTATCTCTATTTTCATCTTTATCCCGTCTCTTTTACTATCTCTTCCACCTCCTCTCTCAATCCCTCCCATCCTTCCTTTTTGCCTTTACTCTTCTTATTTATTATTATGTTCTTCTTTCTTTCTTCTCTTGGGATCATTACCCCTTCCCTTTCTCTCTTTCTCCTATCCCCTCCCACCTTCTATCTTTCTTCTCCTCTCATCTCTCCCGTTCCTTACTCTTACCCTTACTTTTCTCTCTCGCTTTCTCCCTCTTATATTTTTTTAACTCCTCTTCCACCTTCTTTAATCTACACTCTATCCCCTCCTTCTCCCTCTCCCGACCTGTCCGCATCACCTTCATCTGTCTCCTAATCTCTGTTTTCTCCTCTTTCCACTTTCTTATCTCCTCCATAATCTCCTCCCTCCCTTCTTTCATCTTTCTCGTCGTTTCCCCCACCCCTCTTCCCTCTCTCTTTTAGCTGGAGAACTTTCTACTTTCGTGCTCTTCTTAAATATTCCTATTCCTTCCACCTCCTTCTCCTCCTCATGCCTCTCTTTCCTTTTCTCCCCTCTCTTGAATAGGTCTGCTATCGGTAGGCTATTTGCGCTTTCTCTTTTTAGTCTCTCCGCGTCCATCTGTCTCCCCGCCTTTCTCTTCTCTTCCTCCCCAGCCACTTCTTCTATTATCTTTTCTTCTTCCATCTCTCTCCTCTTCCCCTCTCTAATCTTCTTTTCTACTTCACTGTCTCTTTTCCTTTTTCTTTACATGCTTTTCCCTCTATCCATCTACACTACTCTATGCTCCACGCTCCGACCTTGCGACTAACCCACCTCTCACTCTCTCTGTCTCTCTATTCTATGTCACGTCAAACTCGCCGCCTAACCACCCGTCACCGTCCCACTCACCTTCCTCTATTCTCTCTTCCCCTTAGTTCCGCCCTTCTCCTCCACTTCCCCTGCTTCACTCCACCCTGCTGCACTCCCTTCCTGCACCCTTTCCTTCTTTCTCCTCTCTATCTGCTTCACACTCACACTTACACTCTCTTTATCTTATACGTACACCTATCACTCTCGCTTCTGAAAACGGAAGTCTTAATATTAATATTATTTACTTTATTTCTTCCGAAAAAGTTTTATGCTCGACATTGTTTGGATATAACACTCTAATATAAAAAATAATAAAGTCCTTAGTTTATATAAATATTCAGTTTAGTTGGCGCCATTTGATGATGTCATTACTATTGTAGAGAAGATACTTGGGGGGGGGGGAGAATAAAAATGTTTCTTTTAATAAAAGATATCCAAATATAAACTAACAAGAAAGCATAAGTAAGGCTCCTATGTAAACATCTTAAATTAAACGAATGTCATGATGGAAAAAGCTTAGGTAATGTGAGTGATAGTACAATTTAAATAGCCATACACAACACATCTGTATAGCCGGCTCAAGCTCATTTCTAGCGTGCTTTTAATTTCTTACACAACGTCCGGATACCCAATGAAGTACCTCTGTTCGTTGACGCTTAATGACTTCAGAATGCACATTAAGGCGAAACATACGACGCATATGTATACGAACATCCGTTACGCAATTCCGCCGTTATACAGGGTGTCTCAGAATTCGCGCATTCGGAATTCATAGCGTGATTATTCGTGCCAAAAAAAGTAACTTTTTCCTCTGGCAAAATTGTGTCTGCACATTACTTTTCACATAAGAGCAACCTTAAGGTAACGAATAAGTGCTTTAGGTAACGCGTGAATCAGGAGCGGCACGCGTACGGCGTGCCAGCGCGTTTGAGCGTGTACGTTTCTGTCATGTCAGACACGTTCGTGACAGAAACGTTCATGTGTTTTACGTGTCTGTATTACACGGAAAAGAAGTTTGATTATCACGATGAATTATACGAGTGGAGAATATTGCGACATGTTGCTAATTTTATTATTATTACTTATTTATTTATTTATTATTTATTTATTTATTTATTTTTTTGGAACAATAATTTCGGTTCACAATTATTCACGTCTAATCTTCTTATTTGACTTTCAATCGTTGCTTCGGTAATATTAATCGGTAATGTTAATTGCAACATATTCTCTTATTAAGATCGGATGTGTTCAAAATAACAATACTTAGGTATCATGCATAGTTTTTATAAAAACTTTTATCAAAATAATAAAATAGCATACACGCTCAAATAATAAATAATAAATAAATAAATAAGTAATAATAATACATAAAATTAGCAACATGTCGCAATATTCTCCACTCGTATAATTCATCGTGATAATCACACTTCTTTTCCGTGTAATACAAACACGTAAAACACATGAACGTTTCTGTCATGAACGTGTCTGAACATGACAGAAACGTACACGCTCAAACGCGCTGGCACGCCGTGCGCGTGCCGCTCCTGATTCACGCGTTACCTAAAGCGCTTATTCGTTACCTTAAAGTTGTTCTTATTTGAAAAGTAATGTTCAGACACAATTTTGCCAGAGGAAAAAGTTACTTTTTTTGGCACGAATAATCACGCTATGAATTCCGAATGCGCGAATTCTGAGACACCCTGTATAAGTAAGACTGATATGTCTCACACACACTCGTTATAATACGAATATGTTGCGCTATCTTACAACGATAATTTATAGTTCGTACCTATTATATTTAATTTTAATTTTATTCCAGTGCTGAAGAGGGTCGCTTTCGCAGAAACGTACAATTTGTATTTTTTATTATTGATTATTTTATTAAAGATCTGTTAATGATAAGATATTCATGTATATAATTTTGTCACACCACTTCAACGGCGACGGCTCATATTGCCTAAACGTTTTCCATCATGACATTCGTTTAATTTAAGATATCCAAATAATTAAATTATATAATTTTTCTTTGGATGACGATTATACTTGGCGTCTTTTTTAAACCTTTTTTTTATTAAAAATTTATTTTTTAAGGTGATATCACGAAGTTTGTAGTTTCAATTACACTGATCTTGTTGAAACATCTTTTTTTTCCGTGTACATATGAACTTTTGTATGTACGAGTATGTACACGGACCGGCGGAAATGCCGTCCGTGTCCGTGTGACTTGCACACAACGTCGGGTCTCGCACACACTCTCGTCTGTAGGTGAGGTTTCGAAAGTGGGGACAGCCTCTCACGATTGGACCATGACGGGGCTAGGCTGCGTTCAGAAACATCACCCGAGTGTCCCTGTTTATCATTTTATCCTTGTTGCTCTCTATATGTTAAACAAGGATAAAATGATACACTTATGCATTCGGGTGAAGTTTCTGAACGCAGCCCTGCGGGGACTAGCGGGGCTACCGGTATAGCGACCGTAGTGGGGAACCGTGGTGGGAGTCGCTGCGATCTACCATCCTCCTGGCGAGCCGTATAAGCGAGTGAGACCGCATTATGCGAAGGTAGCCTTTTGTTAATGCTGTCTCTATACGTGTGACCCGTACACATTGATCAGGCCCACGCACACATTCTCCTCTGTAGGTAAGCCATACACAGTGGCGCGCTAGCTTTTCCACGAGCTTTTCGATCGGGAAAGAAGTGACGAGAGCGTGCGAGGCCACACGGGACGCGAGTTCCCACACACGAGAACCTTCTACCGTTCGCTATACCTCAGGCGGGACATATAAACTCGCTACTCAACACCTTCCTCACTAAATAAAAAAACTAATGGTTGAAATGAGTAAGCCAATTTAGTCAAGTAGCTCCACAGTACACAGTATCATTACGCGAGTCGTTTGGGCGGCTTTCTTAAACGAGAAGATCGACGCATAGACGGAATTTCAGTTTGCTCACGCATTCTCGCATTATCTAGTATAGGTATGTTAGGCAACACTTGTGGGCCGTCCTCTGCTTGGTTGTTCATATCAGTTCCTTGCACCGGTGTTTCAATTACTTCCTCTGTCGGACCGTAGCTATCAAAACTTTCTTTTTCTACCTCCTCTGCTGCGGGTGTACTTTGTCCAATCTTACGTAATTGATTTATGTGGCGACGCACAGTGGGAAAAAAGGCACACTTTTTGGACAAAAATCGCTGGACGATGTAATTTTCAACCGATTTTAATGCTTTTTTTTAATTTACTCGTTATAAATTGCTCTACAATCGTATCGTGCCCTTTTTTTAAATTAGACCTTTGATTCAAAATGGTGGAATCAAAATGGTTATCAGAAATATGGAAATTGTAAAATATTGAATATTATTGTACCAAACTATCATAATTATATGCGAGTTTTAGGGATCCGTAATAATATATCTGTGTCAAAATGGTAATATTTGCCACTGAAAAAGACCTGAAGTGGGTCGAAATGTTTCACGACTCTTTGATATCTTTACAATATCAATACATTCAGATCGCGTTTTCATATTAGTACATATTACCCGATTATATGTAAATTTCACAATTTAACATAAAATTTATATAGCTGCCAAAATATGAAATTATAATCATTATGTAAAAATAAAAAATATAACACTAAAGTCCCCTTTTATTTATTGTCAAGATATCGGACGTGCCAGAATTTATATTTACTTTTATTATTTTGTTTTCTTTATTTTTGTTTTTATTTTTGTTTTTGTACTTTTATATTTTTGTTTTTTGTATTTTAATATTTCTTGTAAATAAATATATATTTTTTATTATACAGGGTGTCCTGAAATTCGCGAATCAAAATACCATAGCAAGAAAGTCGTCGAAAAAATAAATTAAAAAGTTATTTGCCATTTTTCGTTTCGAGCAGTAGTTTTTTTAGATAAAAAGGTTCAAAACAGGCTAATCATACATTACGGTTGAACGGAAACCTGTCCGTGAGTCGCGCGTCGATAGTGTTAATGCACTAACACTATCGACGCGCGACTCACGGACAAGTTTCCGTTCAACCGTAAGTTATGATTGGCCTGTTTTGAACCTTTTT